TCTGATAGGCAGTCATGATTTCCGAAATTTGTGTAAAATGGATGTTGCCAATGGAGTCGTCGATTTTATGCGTACGGTGAAAGATGCTGAAATAGTTTGTGTCTCGAGACAATCCCACAATACTGAATCAGGTATAATTATATATATATATATATATATATATATATATATATATATATATATATATATATATTATATATGTATGTAATCTGATGTATACCATTTTAGGTTATGACATGTTCGCTTTCAAGATAACATCGAAGGCCTTTCTTTGGCACCAAATCCGTTGCATCATGGCCATCCTTTTACTAATTGGAAATGAATGCGAAGAACCCAGTATCATCACTGAATTATTCGATGTGGAAAAGAACGGATGGTAAGTCTGAAAAAAAATCAAAACAAATGTCATTAATTATAGATAAAGAAATCTATGATTGCAGTAGAATTATAATTAGATTAATAAGTATAAATATATTACTAACTTTCTGAAAAAGAAAATTTATATTTAAAGCATGCGGTTATATTAAGATAGAAAACAAAAAATCATCAATCGATAATTATAAAACCAAAATCAAACTAGCTGTAAGTGGAATTCTGTCTTAAGGCAATTAAGGCATCGTGCCTTAAGGCAAATTGCTGGAACTTCCCGTGCCAAAAATTATTATTTTTTTAAAAACGATTAACATTTTTGAAAAAATTTTACTTCGAAAAAATAAGATTTTTTAGAATTTTAAATTGGACAAAAAATTACTTTTTTTGAAAAAAAAAAAAATTTTTTTTAAAAAAAATTTTTAAACAATTTTTTTTTGTAAAAATTTTTTTTTTGGAAAAATGTTATCTTCATTTGACATATTTTGGAAGATCTGAACTTTTTTTCAAAGCAATCGTACTGCCTTAACTGCATAGAGACAAATATAAAGCGCGTAAGCGCCGCGTCGCTGTCTAACGGAAAACATTGGTACGGAACCCATAGGAATGTAAACAAAACTTATACTTATTGTTAAAAATCAATAAAATATCTGATAATTTGATATGCATATGTCTAATGTCTAATGATTATTGTTGACCGCCAAATGTTTTTTTTTTAGTTTTTTTTACTAGATCTCCGAAAACCGCTAGACCTATCTTCATGAAAATTTGATCAAATCTTCATCCTGTTAATACAAGTAAAATGTTTTTTGAATTATTCCAATCGGACGCTCCGTTCTCTTAAAACTGAGTTACCGTTTTTGCCCTTTTTGCCCCATATCTTCGGAATGGCTAGACCTGCCTTTGACAAAACTAATCAGCACGTCTCCTTATCAATACGAATCGAATGTTTTTTTGAATTATTCAAATTGCTTCATCCGTGTTCCCGAAATCGTCGACGAAAATTTGTATCCGAACACACACACATGGACGCACACACACACACAACACATACATCATTTTCTCCAAGGTATGCCAACATATTCAGAAACCTCTGAAACGTGAAGATATATAAAAATTTTCATTTTCGATTTTTTTTGCGATTACTTACCCTATGGAAAGTTAATTATAAATAAATCAATTTATCATCTCCAGAACATTAACAATCGTCATTTCATTTCGAATCAAATTCCAAAAAAAAATAGTTGCCAATTTACACAAAATTGAAAAAGTGCTCCCGCATAGTCACAGTCTAAACGCATTTGCAAATAATTCTTTGCGACATTTTCACTTATACTGTGCTCAGCTTGGCGGCATTTTCACATTTTTCAATAATTTCACAAAATTGAAAAAGTGCTCCAGTACACAAACAGTCTAAACGCACTTGCGTAACCATTTCTACCAGAGTGGCGCTTAGACTGTGCTTAGCTTGGGTGATTTTTTGAATTTTTAGTCCAAAATTACAAAAAAAATTTTTGAAAAAAAATTAGAAACAAAAATTTTTTTTTTCCAAAATCAATTGTTTTGTTGAAAAAAGCAGAAAGTTCTTTGAATCATTTAAATCGGACGCTTAGTTCTCTCAAAAACAGCCATTTTTTTTAAATTTAGCTCGGTATCTCCGAACCTCTGGGCCTACCTTTGCCAAAAACTAATCAGCACATCTCCCTATCAATAGGAATCGAATGTTTTTTTAAACCATTCAAATCGGTTGATCCGTTCTCTCAAAAACTCGCTTTCTATTATTTGCACTCTTTGCTCCATATCTCCGTAACGGCTGGACCTGCCTTTGCCAAAAACTAATCAGCACATCTCCCTATCGATAGGAATCGAATGTTTTTTTAAACCCATTCAAATCGGTTGATCCGTGCGCCCGAAAACGTGGACGAAAAAAGCGGACATACAAAACACACACCCACACCAACACACACACAACACACACACACACAACACACACATCCATTTTTTCTGAAGTATGCCAAAATGTTCAGAAACCTTCAAAACGTCGAGAAATGTAAAAATTTTTGATTTCGATTTTTGGACGATTACTATAACTTACCCTACGGGAAGTTAATTATT